TTGGATGCATGGCAGACCTGGCATATCTCAGACGTGTAGCAGACCTGTAAAGCCATGCAAAAAAGCGCCAGAAGTCCTGCCACATCCTACCAGAAGTCCTACATTGTTCGTCCTCCATCTGATTCCAGGACATTCTTCGGCTTCTTTCAGCACGGCCGCCGAAGCAGCTCAAGGATGCTTTGGGATGCTTTCGGGGGTTTGGGGCTTTGCAGTTTTGAGGCTCTCGATGTCGTGGAGTTGACTTGTTTGACGCAGGCACCGTCTCTCACTCGCAGCATGAAATCTCGGGTCTATGGGGTATTTGGCTGTATGTAGGTCGTAAGGCTTACAGTATGTGCGAGTTCGATGTTTACGACGTTTAGGATGCTTGGGTTATGCTTTCCAAGCCCTGAACCCTCTTCCGCAGGACTACTTTGACACATCCTACCGGAAGGTGATCTTTGGCCTTCCGCCCTTGCGCTTCCAGGCGGAGTCCAGCACTGCTTCCGCAAAGTTTAGGGTGTTGGATGATAGCTGTTGTTGGTGTGATCTCTGTTATGGATCTGTCAGTATGTGTACTAGTACGACTTTCACTGGTCTTGTGGCTATGAGGATGAGGACTACAATGATACAGTGTCATTTCTGTCCGTTCTTATTCTTATCTGGTAGCCGTTGAAGTGTGGAATGTACTGCAAACGTTGAACCGATCAGCGGGTTGCCCAAGTCGCCTCTCATGCCTGACAGGTGCAGACTCCCGGCCTGGACTGCGCAGATGTCACGCGAGCAAGAAGATTCGTGCGACGCTTGCCTGCACCTCACATCTCACAAAGCAAACAGAAGCAAACACAACAGAACACCGGAGGTTGTAAGTGCGCGTCGGGCAGCTGCAGGATCATTCTGCATGGCTTCGTCCAGCATGTTTTAGTTTCCGCCAGATTTGGGCTAAAGCCGTGGATTTCAGGGCGAGTTCATCGATCTTGACCCGTGGCATCCCCACCATGGATAGTGATCCAGTTGCGGAAGGCAAGAAATTTCATGAGGCGTACCAGTGCAACGCTTACGAAGCCTTGGAGGCACGCCAAGACATGAGCGAAGGTGAACTCAAACGCCAATGGAAGAAAATTATGTTTTCCGCCAGAGGGTGGCACAGGTTTTTTATGGTCACTGCCTCTGCAGCACGCGAACAGAAGCGAGTGCGGAAGGTATGCAGCATGCTTATTTCATTGACAAACATAATGCTCCCTGAACTCTGAGCCCGAAGCACTGAATCCACAATCCTAACACCCAAAAGCTACTCTTCAGTCCCTCGTGGGGTCTATGTACCTAGTTTTTTTCAATCTACAGAGGGTGGCTTGGGATGGGCTTGGGGTGGCTTTGGGGTGGCTTGGGGGGTTTTGTGTGGGTTGGGTCGGGTTGGCTTGGGGTGGCTTTGAGGTGGCTTGGGGGGTTTTGGGTGGGTTGGGTATCGGACTACTTCAGATCTTGGACGTAGCGTCTGCTCCCATGTGTTGTGGCTCAGTTGATGCCGCTGGAGTTCCGGAAGCTGCACGAAGTGAGCGCAGGCCGCAGACGTGCTTGGTCAGTTCGCCAAATCTCTGGCCATGGTCCTGGCATGTGTTACGGTTCGCATCGCAAGCTTCCTTTTCCGCAGCTCACGCTCTCCCCACATGCCACCCAGTGGCCTCGGTCTCGGTGCAGGCAAGTTGCTGTGATTCAGCGGCCGCTAATGGCTGGACGTGGCTGCGGCAAAGTTTAGCCGGGCTTCGCGGTGTGACATCTGTAGAGGCCACGTACCGACGGGGGCCCTTTTTCAGGGGTGAATGTCTGAACCCCGAGGTGCAATCATCAACCTGAAGGAAGTCCTCGCCATGCTGAGACAAGACTTCGCGCCGCGGGTCTCCGTCGACACCATCGACAGCCTCAAGGATCCCAGAGGGCCTGAGCATCAGATGCCTCAAGTAGCCAACCCCACAAGTCCGCCAAACTCTCTCCCTCCCTCCCACCCCCCCCCCGCCCCAAAAGATCCTTATTCAGCCCCCAAACAAACCTCAAAAACCCCCGAAACTATCCGAAACTCCTCAGTTCGTAGACTCCTAGAGATTCCTGCTCCCACGCCTTTCCCAGGGCGTTCCCTGGCTGGGCCAATTCCGGCGCTTCGCGGAGCTCTCTGTGCTGGTGGGCATCCATGGGGCCGGCCTGGCTTGGGCCTCTTGGATTCATCGGGTTTAGGGTCTAGGGTCTAGGGTTTAGGGTTTAGGGTTTAGGGTTTAGGCTTTAGGGTTTTAGGGCTTAGGGTTTAGGGTTTAGGGTTTAGGGTGAGGACTTAGAGGGCTGCCCTTGAGCATCATTTAAAACCATTCTCTGGAACCCCTTCAACCAGCGAGCATTGGGGTTGGATTGGCTTCGTCAGGGTCTCGCAGTCACTTGTGACTGAAGTGGCTCTCGTTCATTTTTTAGCAGATGGCTTGCAGCAGTTGCGCATCATGAGAAGCCCGTCGTCCGTTGAGGGGTATGTCTAATCGCTGCTGTAGCTTCAGCGTTCCTGTGAACACCCAAGGTTTGGGCCATGAAAGAAGGCCCGGCACCTGCACATGGGTTCATGGCATTTTTTCGGCCTGCTTTGTGTGAAGGCCACTGCTAGCTTCCTTGATTGTTCTGATGAGTCCTGATCTGCCGGCATGTGGCACCCTCAACGACTCCCAAACCCCCACACATCGCTGGCCCCATTTGGCCCTTTTCCGTAAGAAGGTGGTGCCGTCATCGAGTTCCGAACAAAGGGCGCACCGACCTTTCTGCTTTCATGCGGTGACAGGCACTCTGGGTGGGAGTGGGCAGAGCCGGCATTGCATCTAATCATAATCTCGAATTCGGGGGCCGCAAGAGAACACCTTCCAAACCCTTCGCGCGAGAGTCACTTGCAAACGCTTGCGTGCGCCGGCAGGGCCGGCCCCAGCCGTGGGGGCGTATACGTGTCAGTCCGACCAGTGCACCTCGGAGTTTCCAGTCTCTGTCGGTCGGGGAAAAAGACACCGGAGAGTAAGCCACATGCGAACCCGAAACCTCGAGCGAAACACTGACTTGCAGTGTCAGCGGTGCGAAGCCTTCGGTGCACCCGCCCAAGCTGGCCAGGGCGGGGGGTGTGATGGGGAGCAGAGCTCTCGCAAACCAACCGGGCAGTAGCCTGTCGCAGCCAGAGTCCATGCTCGCACGCTATGCCCGGTTGGGTCGAGCACTGCATGAGAGTGCGCTGTGCACTTGCGCAATACGTTTCGTCGAATGTCCTTCATGTTGCTTTCTCTGGGGCCCGATGGTTTGGAAGGTGGAACTGGGACGGCCACGAGACCTTCGGCGGCATCTCGCGAATGGCCCTGATTCACCACATCTGCATCAAGCCGGCAGACGGGCAGGAACTCCTCGGCGAGGCAGGATGGCTAAAAGTTGCCCATGGCAGTTCTTCTCCACTGCAGTAGGGAGCCCCTTTTTTGGAAGGGATTCCACATGAATCAGATCCCTCAGCCCTGCCAGGAGTTCGACGTTCGGGCCGCTGGCCGGGAAGCTGTGTCCTCAAACCCTAAATCATCTAATAGCCGGATCCTATTAACGCGTTTAGGGCCTAATTAGGCGTTGGGCTTGGGTGCTGAGACCCAGGGTTGGTGCATGGTTTTCCAAAGAGTCCACAGCAAGGACCGCGACGCAAACGTCACGATCCCGTTGGATCGGCTGAGGACTCTCATGCAGGACCGGGGCCTGACTGCACAATTCAGTCATTCAAGGGTTGCTTGCTTTGAAGGTTGGGCAGACAATCTAGGGTGTCACTTCGGGTTTTATGCTTTCTTGAAGGAAGCCGGGACAGCTTTTAAGTTCTGCTTTGAAGTGCTCTTCGTTGCGGCGCTGTTTTGTATTGTGGTGGCGTGCAAGTGGAACTAGGGGGCCACAAATGCGACTGAACCTTGAGCCCCCTTATCCACGCTCGCATTGGGCTGGGAGTCCCAGAAGCCCAGCCCTGGGCAACGCTCTACAAAAAGCCCATGGCACAGGAGGCTCTTGCCCTTGTGGACGACGTCCCTCGCGACTGTGACGACATTGCCAAGTTCCAGATTTGAGCAGGTACGCCACTTCCTTGGCTTGTGAGTTACATTGGTGCAAGTGCTCATATGGTTGCAGTTTGACCCAGTGCCGAAAGTCCACTACTTGTACCCGTATAAACCACACATTTCTTCGCAAATGTCATGCCGTGCAGCGGTGCGCCAGGTTCCAACTTTGCAAGGCAGGAGAAAGTGAGTCCTTCCTCTGGGGAGCAACGCCTTCGGCTTCTGCATCTCTCACGGACTCTTAGTCACCCAAATCGGCGAGGACGGTTCAGTCTTTTTGCAGCTGCGCAAGAATTATGGTTTGATCTTCTACTCTACGTCTCCTTGCCTAGGAGCAACAGCAGCGATCAGGGGGAGCTCGCCACCCCTAGCATCTGATCTTGGACGCTTCCTCTCGGGAGAGAAATGTCCTTGGGAGGCCTCGCAGATCTGGGACATGGACGGCTCGGCAGCGACCCGGCTGGGAACTGAACAAGGTGCCAAGGTGCCAAGGTGCCAAGGTGCCAAGGCGTCAAGGCGCCAACGAGCCAAGGCGCCAAGGAGCCAAGGCGCCAAGGCGAGCATTCGAAGGGTGGTCTTCGGATTCATTCCGCGACGGCTTGGAGACGAACAGCGTAGATGAGGGGGACTGTTCTGGACCAGGGTCCCTTTTTCGTTGGATCCTACACGAAGCTACCTTATGGTGCAAGGGCATGCGAAGTCAGAACAACCCCCGGATGCTCTGGCGATTGACGGGGGCCTCGAGCACTTGCACTGAGAAGCTCCAAGGCAAAGAAAGAATGCCCTGCAGAAACATGCTGCGCCATGTCTGACCTCAAAGCGTGAACTTTCGGGGTGGGCCCCTGAAACTCTGGACCCTAAACCCTACAAATCCTAGACCATCTAGAAGCCCGAAGCCCCAGTCCCTAAAAGTGTTCGATTCAGTGACAGGTGCTGCGCGGTCGTCACTGGCAGCAACTGCAACAGGCCAGGAGGGGGCTTCTGTGTTAGACAGCACATTGCAGAGAAAGAAACGTTGCCAGTGGCCTGCGGACCGGCGATGTGGCGGCGGGAGCGCCTGAAGCTCAGAGACCCAGAGGGCCGAAAGTAAAGCGACTTGGGGCTTCGGGTGCTGAGCATGCTGCTGGTGCCCGCAACTATCTGAGGACCCGCTGCTGTCCACAGATAGGCTGCCGAAATCGCTGTGGCCCGGCCTGGTCGTTCTGTGCAAGATGTTGGGGGTACCGGGTACGTAGCATCTGGCAGCATCATCGAGTTGGTTCAACCAGACGAATGGTTTTTCCAGTAGAGATGAGCATGAGATTTGCGAAGCCCCCGAGGAAGAGTGCCTTCGACCTGGAGGGAGTCCGCCTGACCAAGGCTTCCCTGGTTTGGGGACCTATCCCATTGTTACGATGATGATCATGACGATGATGGTGAGGAGGATAAGGATGTTGGGGAGAATGAGGAGGATGAGGAGGATGGGGAGAATGGGGAGGATGCGGAGGATGAGGAGGATGAGAAGGATGAGAAGGATGAGGATGACCAGCATCAACACGAATATTATCTGGCATATCCGTCCGAATGTGGGGGATGCTGAATATGTTACGCAGGCGGTGCAGATTCCCCATAATGGGCCGCAGTACCGGCCGCACTGAGTGCCGACGTCTCCGTCTTTCATGGCCTGTCATCATGCGCTGCAGACACATCAGGACCACAACTAGGAATACAGCCACGAGCCAAGAGCAGGATGGCTCCTCTCCCCCCCCCCCCTTAAGCCTCAACCCTGTCTAAAGGGTAGGTACATGGTCCCTGAATTTCTGACCCCTTCGCCTTATTTTAGGGTTTAGGGTTTAGGGCCCATCTACTTGGGCTCATGTAGCTGCCCGGCGGCTGTCTGAAGTCGTCAGGCCCAGGCTGCCGGCCTGGGTGTGGCGATGATGCTCCCAGGCCGGGGCTTGGGTTTCTGAGGGCTTCCTAGGGTTTTCAGGTTTTGTTTTAGGGCTTCTAGGGCTTTCAGGTTCTTTTAGGGCTTCTAGGGCTTTCAGGGCTTTTTAGGGCAGTCTTTTTGGGAAAGTTTCGGGGTGAGGGTCTGAGGTTTATGGCTTGGGGTTTGACATGCACTGTTGCGTCTACGGAATCTTGCTCAAGGGAGTCGCCCCATTCTTTCAAGTGTCCGAGGCAGCGGAGTTCGCTTATACCCACCAAAATGCAATGTCAAACCGACTTGGGAGGAAGATGGCTCTGCTCTGCACGCAAGATCTTACGCTAAGGTTGGGGGAACACCCTAAACCCGAAACCCTAAACCCGTGGGCGCGTGACATGATCATGCACAGGGAGTACTGAGGGGCATTGCTTTCCGGTTTCGTAACCTACCCTAGCTGTAAGCTCGCCCGAAAAGGAGTGAAGGGTTGTTAAAAAAAAAACCCTAAACCCTAAACCCTAAACCCTAAAAAAAGCAAACCATAAAAAACCCAAAACCCTAAACTGCAAGTCCAGTTCCCCCCCACATAGGAACCCCCTGAAGTGTCCAGAGGCCGCACGAGACAAACGGCGGCCCAACAAGACTTTCCTTGGTAAGCGAGGCTGAGGAACCTATCGAAAATCCCTAAACCCTAAACCCTAAACCCTAAACCCTACACCCTACACCCTACACAGCGCTAAGCGCCGCTCGCTCTCTTCCCTGGCTGGCGAGGCTCCACGGTGCTGGCGATGGGCCCACTGCTTGGCGCTGTTTTTCTCCTTTCTTGCTTCGGTGGGCTTGGGGTTTGCCTTGGAATTTAAGGGCCTAAGGATTGCCCCGAAGGTTTTATAACCATAGTCATGATCATGATCTTAAGGTTGTATAACCATAATCATGATCAGAATCTTCGTTAAGAATACGATGAGTGCTCATCCTCATCCTGTGCCCGGCTCTCAGGTGGCGTAGGATGCGCACTCCTCCTGAACTCCTCCCAGAGCCCGGGGGCTCAGCGCCCGACGGCTTCGCGCACGTTTCTCGTACTCATGGGTCTACACGCACACGTTAGGTAGTTTCATTACTTACCGTTACAGTTGCTCGTTATGAACCATGTTTCCCTAGAATGAGTTACTCTTAGTCCCTCATCGTTATTATCTATTAGCTACTATTCACTTGTTCTTTCTATGGGCTGTTATGATTCGTTTTGCCAGAGGAGCCGCTGGCGGCGCAGACGCAGACCAAGATCGGTGGCAGGCCGTGGCAAATGGGTAAAGGCATCCTCAAGCGACATGAACCATAGCGAAGAATCCTTAGACGTGACTTGCTAGTTAATATACCGCGAAGAATCCTTAGAAATGACTTATTACTAAAAAGATACTGAAGTATTTCTAGCAACAAGTAGTTATATTATAGTGGTAAGTAATCAGAGTCATACCCGTTTCCCCAGCCCTCTCCAGCCGACGCAGGCACTGCAGGCCCGACCCTCAGCTCCCCGACCTTTGGAACGCGAGCGGATGTGAGAGGGATGTTCCGAGGCCGAGGACGACGCCTGTCCCAAACCCCTAGACCCTGCAGGGTTTAGGGTTTAGGGTTTAGGGTTTAGGGTTTAGGGTTTACGAATTCTTAAGCTCATACGCTCGAAGCCATGCCCGAAGCCTTTCCTAGACCTCATGCAAGCAAGCGCACAGGAAACCTGGCTCAAGCACGCGCATACGCTCCTCAGGCCAGGCGCTTCTCCCCGATTCAGGGTGAGAGTTTGGGGTTCAGGGTTCAGGGTTTAGGGTTTAAGGTTGGGGTACACACACACACACACAGGAAGCCCCCAACCTCGAAAACGTTCTCATTGCCAGTGGATCATCCTAAACCCTCAAACCTTCAACCCTGAACCCTGAGCCCCATAACCCAAGATCTTCACCCCAAACCCTGAGCCCTAAACCCCAAACCCTAAACCCCAAACCCTTTCGCCCCAAATCCCAGTGTTTTTGGGGAGGCGGAAGACCTGCCCCATCGAGGTGAGGTACGCGGACGGTGCCGGGCCGGCCGTGATCAAGGCCCAGATCTCCGGTTGGCTTTCGCGCTGTATGCGTCGCAAGCTTATACATACATATATCTCTATATACATACGTGTCTTTTTATATGTATATGCATATGTATATATATATACACACATATACGTATATATACATGCATGCATATATCTATATATATATATATATGTATATGTATATGTATATGTATATGTATATGTATATGTATATGTATATGTATATGTATGTATGTATGCACATATATACATACATACACATTATATACACATTATTTACCTACACGCACACACCTCTCGATATACATCCATCCATCTGTCCATCTATCCATGCGCAGACATGCATGCCTGCGTGCATGCAGAAATGCATGCACAGACATGCGTACACTTACGTGGATGCGCGCGCGCATGATCATTGTTTGAGTTTTCATTTTCTATGGCCTGTTGTTGCCTCTTCTTCTTATTATTATGATGACGATTATTATTATGATTATGTTTATGATTATGATTATTATTCTTACAGTTCTTCGTAATTGTTTATGAGTTTTAATCTTTAGGGAAAAGACACGTTCTCCTGAGTCTGACTAAACGAGCAGAAGGAGGGGCCCCTAGAGGGGACCCTCAGTCATATTCCCCCCAAAATAAGCCCCACATGTACCTCATGTAGTCCCAATATCCCTAAGGTCCCTAATAATAGGGTCCCTCCTTTAGTCCCCTGCTCTGAGCTGGGCCCTGCGTGCTGTCGGCAGGTGACGCTCTATGCCTTGAGGGATGTGCTTTGTGCCGTGGCCTGGGGGGACTGGAAAGGGCTTCAGTGAAATTTCTGTTAGGGTTTAGGGTTTAGGGTTCCCCCCTGCAGAGGCATGATAACAGGTTCCCCAAAAAGGAGCGGAGCTAGGAGAGCTCAGCATGGTAACGTGCTTGGCGTTTGTGTTGGAGTCGCGGCGACACGCGCTTTAAGGCCCTACCAGTTGGAAGCTTGGGCACATGGGGCCTGCACCTCGTTGCTCACCTCCTGCTGGGGTTTGTTGGGGTTTTGGGGTTTTGGGGTTTTGGTGTTTTTTTGGGTTTGCGGTTTTTGGGGTTTTGGGGTTTTTGTGGTCGTTGGTGTTTTGGAGTTTGTGAGTTTTTTTTTTTTGGGGGGGGGGGGGGGGGGGTTCCGCGTTTTTGGGGTTTTGGGGTTTTGGAGTTTTGGGGTTTTGGGGGTTTTGGGCTTTTGGGGTTTGTGTGTTTTGGGTTTTTGGGGTTGTCCTGATTGAAGCCGCAGCAGGCTAGTCTAGGATTCTTAGAAGTTTAGGGCTTAAGGGTTCAGTGGCTTGAGGGCTTTGAGGGTTACGGCTTTGCAGCTGAGGGTTTTGGGCCCTGAGGGTTGTGAGCTCGAGCGCCGAGGCGGAGGCGGCACCGGCGGCGAGTCGGTGGCACGCCTTGCTCGAGGTGAGAGTTGCAGGCAAGATGAGTTTGAGCTCTCGGGTTATCGGCCGCTGCAAGTGCTTGGAACTCTTGCCCATGCAGGCCCTGATCCGTAGTCCGCCTGATCAAGCACTGCCTCAGCAAGTTGTTTGGGCACTGCCCAGCAAACTGTAGCACTGTCCATGCAGAGGCTGCGACCCGTCACAGATCAGGACCTGTTTCGGCTGCGGGTGGTGGCCTTAGTCCCGAATTTGGGAAAGTCGCGGCTGGTAGCTTTGTTTCACGAGACCTTGTCTGTAAACCCGTAACCCGAACCCCTCAACGGGTGATCAAATTCTGTAGAGATCGCTGTGAGGTCTACCGGCCGGCTCCTCTCCTGGACGTCGTCTTGCACGATGGGGTACAGGCGCTCCGAGAGAGTCGGGGGTGTGGGCTTGGGGGTGGAGGCTTAAGGGAAGGAGCATGATAAAGCAAGCCCCAAATCCCACACCCAAGCCCCTCAGCTTCTAGGCTTCCTAAATTAGCCTTCCTGAGCCCTCTAAAACCGCGTGGCCCCGGCTCGGAGCAGGTTCGCCGCGGGGACCGGCTGCGCGTCGAGGTCTCCACCAGCGGAGAGGTGGGGCGAAGTGGATGTCTTGGGGGTCTCGGGGCACTCGGGAGACATGTATCCTTAAGCTCAGAGCAGCATGCCCCGATCCCTGAAACATCCCGAAGCCTTAACATCACCCCAACATCCCGCAACTGGTGTCAGATGGTGAGGCCAGTGTCTACTCCGATGCGCCTGGCCTGCAGAGGTGTGATCTACCTGAGAAGCTGCCTGAAGTGACCCGCGTTGGCTTGTCTCTGTCTCTTCATTCTGCTTCTCCTGTTGCTGCTAGTAACAGCAAGCTCAGCAGTGAAAGGCCGTCCATCGATGACCCGGTGATGGAGCAGGACACTCTTGCAATTTTCACATCGTAGTCATGGAAACTGCAGAAGGCCCAAAGCGAAGACTAAGGGGGCTGTTCATGCACCATGGCGCACATGGTGCGCTCTCAAAGTGTCGGTCTTCCTTTCGGGCACCCGAAATCTGCATCCTGGTCCCCTGTGCTCGGAAGCCTGGTGAGGAGCAGAACTCCCCGTTCTGAGCCCAGGAGTTGGGAGGTGTATGGGATTAGGGTGTTTTTGAGGGTCCGAGCATGAAAGTCAAGGTGTTCCCTCCGACCACTGTAGCTGTTTGTCCGTGGTGGGTGCAGAAGAATTGAGATTCAGACCCGCGATTCTGCTGTCACTTCAAACATGGTTGCATGCAGCGTTTCTTGGCTTAGGCCTTTCCGGCCTCGCACTTTTTCAGCTGCTCAGCCTGCTTGGTTTCAGGCCTGCACTGGACTGAGCCAAGCTGGCGGAGAGTGATCTAGACCTGAGCTCTCGCGTGTTTTCCGAGTGCAGAGGGAGGGAAGATGTAGGAAGCCCAACCTGGCATACTACGGGCATCGGAATAAGTACGAATAGTACTCCCTTGGGGTCCTTTTGTACTTATACTAGAATAACCCCCCCCCATATACTATATTAGGTGCTCATAAAGACGATGACCTCTGCGCTGTGACACCAACGCCAACACCAAACGCCAACTTGCCTGTCGCTGTACAGAGGTGAGTTGATGTTAGCTGCCACAGTTCCCAAGAGAAAACGTGCACCGGGCGCTGCTGACGTGGCATTCCGCCACTTGGCAACTATTTGTCTTCCCACTCGCCTCGGGCGTTTCAATCATCTTCTGCTTGCTTGCGGTGGCTTCTCCTGGGAATGTTGTACAAAGTAGGGCCGCTGGAACCACTGGGCCTCGCTGGGTCCTGGGTTTGAGATGAAGAGGTGTGTGCGCGTGGGTCGTAGACTCTCAGAGTCTGATGGCATCCTGAAAGACAGCCCTCGACCTTCCGTTTTGCAAGTTTGTGGTTTCCGCGGAGGAGTTCCAAGCCCTCAGCCACTCAGGGATGCCTCTTAAGAGCTCCAAGTGACGCAGCCAAGCGACTTGCCCGATAGCAGGAGCACCCCAAAGTGACTGCGACGTTTCCTGGGCGCGGAGGTGCCAGGCCGCTCTGCAAGCGGCGCGGAAGCGCAGCAGAAGACCCAGCCCGAAGTCGAGAGGTCAGCGAGTGCGGAAGTTTTTTGCAGAGTTGAGGGAGTGCAGCGGGGACGTGCTACGGGGAGTGCTGCTCAAGCTGTTAAGGTTTTGTGTGTTTTGTCCTTGTCTCCAGGATGTGAGGGGACGGGTTGCTTCCCTACTTCACTCTGGACGCAGGGAAAGCGCTGCGATGTCGTACTTGTGATACGATTGCATGTCAGCCTCTCTGGGACTGGTGATCAGAGCCATGGCTGAAGTGTGATGCCTTGCAACGCCTGCATCGAGGCATGACCGTTTCCTTCGACGCCTGTGAGGATGTGTCTGCGCCTCATGAACAATGACCACTTCTGATCCCAGATCCACATTATGCTGTCTGGGTTCTGCTGGCAATCTGTTGCTGCTTCTGAAGCAGGATGCCCTAGCGATGTGTGTTAAGGTCATCGCTGCTGCAGCTACTCAGTACACTCGTATCAACAACTCCTCCCTCCCAGACCCTTTGTGGATTTCTTGCTGCTTGGCTTTCTTGTTACACGGCGCAGAAGTCGCGCTCACGATCACGCTCATGCTCACGTGCACGCTCACTCTCACGCACACGCTCACGCTCACTGTCACTCTCACTCTCACTCTCACTCTCACTCTCACTCACACTCTCGCTCACGCTCTCGCTCTCGCTCTCACTCTCACTCTCACTCTCACTTTCACTCACACTCACACTCTCACTCTCGCTCACGCTCACACTCTCACTCTTACTCTCACTCACACTCTCACTCTCACTCTCGCTCACGCTCACTCTCACGCTCGCACGCGTGCTCGCGGTCGCTCCCGCTCTCGCTCTCACTGCTCACGCTCGCTCTCGCTCTTGCTCCCGCTCTCACTCTGACCCTCATGCTCACGCACTCTCAGGTACACTTACACTTGCAGTTGCACTTGCACTTGCGCTTGCGCTTGCGCTGGCGCTGGCGCTTACGCTTGCGCTTTCACTGGCACTTGCACTTGCACACTTACACTTGCACACTTACACTTACACACTTACACACTTACACACTCACGCTTACACACTTACACCTACACACTTACGCACTTACACCTACACACTTGCACTTTTACACTTACACTTTTACACTTGTACTTTTACACTTGTACACTTGCACTTACACTCACACCCACTGACTTGCGCAAGGCTGTCGCATGTCAAGCACATATACTAAGTGTTAAGCGGGTGCTGCTTGCTGCTTCACCGATCCGTCGCAGGCCTGCGAAGATCCTCGAGCCGAGTGCATCCGCCAGTCCACAGGCGTGCGTGGTTTCAGACTTGTGCGCTGCATCTTGCAGGGGCCCGTGTGCAACCCCCGAGCCTCTCTCTGACTCTTCTCAACTGCAGAAAGCTCTACACCCTCAGCCCGAACCCCCAAAATCCCCAAATCTCTGAATCCCGAATTCTAAGCCGCAGAGACGCCAGGCCGAAACAGCCGGCGAGACCTCCAGCGAGGAGGAGGAGAAGGCCTGGGCCATGGTTTCGAGCGGCCTTTTTTTGTTGATCCGGCGCCTTGCGGCTTTGGTCTCTGGGCAGTGTGGGTTTCAGGATTTCGGGGCTTAAGAGCTTCCCCTTTGCAGCTTTGCGAAGGCAAGTTGAGCATATTGTAATCTTGGGAGGCCAATAGGTAACTTTAGACTTTTCGGGTATACTAACCCTACTAAAAGAAAACTTTAAACTTTTTTGGGCCAGGGTATTGGGTAACTAAGTAATTCGTAAGAACTGAAGATTCCAAGAGGTGCCTCCACCTCCTCCCTGCAGCCCGCGTTGGGCTCGGACCACTAAAGTTCGGAGCTGCGACAGGTGCGAGTGACTGATAGCGGTAACCACAGTGCGCGTAGTTGCTGCTGTGCCGACCAGTGGTTCAGTTTCTACATGCAAGATCAGAGCAAGTCATGAAACAACTATCACAGCCCTGGCCGTCAGTTTTGGCATCTTTTGTGCTCTGTTCGCAGCAGTTGCTCCTGCGCTCCGGTTGTGCTGGGCCTCCTTTCATCCATTGCGCCGAGCATGTGCGATTTTGACTGGGTCGGGCTCAGATGGCTTCGGGGTTTAGGGTTTAGGGTTGCTTCCTTGGAGATTCTTGCACCTTTACTGCTCTTCTACTACACTCGCCCCTTGCATTTCATCCTCGGCGACTCGTTCTCAAGGTGCGGCCTGCCACCGGTACCGGGCGCCGAGGATGCAAGGACCTCGGGAAAACAGGAGCTCCTTCGGAGAACTTGTATTGTTTGTGTCTTTGGGATATTTCCAGACGCTTCGGCTGAGGGATGAGGCTGTGGATGCCAGGCACCGACCATACGCGGCTTGGCTACCAAGGCTGTTTGTGCCAAGGGCACTCCAAGCAGGGACCGTGGACTCCAACGCAAGCCAGCACAACGAGCATTGTTATGTACTGACTTTTCTCACTATCTAGTCGGGGCAGAGCATGCAGCCACCGGCCATGGTTGTGTCCGACTTCGGCAGCGGCTACAGTGGCAGCATTTCGCAAGGAGACAAGGCTGGTGCTACTGGTGTTGATGTGTGGAGCCTCTTCGACGACACGGACCTGGTCGAAGAGCGTTCCGCAGCGCGTACGAGGAGCGAGCCTGAAGATGCAGAGCATGCTGATTCCGCGCCCAGCTGTTTGGATAAAGACGTTCTTGCAGTGATCCTATCGCAGGCCGGGGACGCCATCGCACTGACTCAGTACCAGGTTCCGGCCGTCTGCCGCTACTTCTACTCAGCTACACGGGAGGCGATGTGCTGGCGGCACCTTTGCCTTTCTCCCTCCAACTACTTGGCCTCCTCTGCTGTGACGGATGACGTGGTGCGGCGGCTGGCCAGGACCCACGGACCCAAGATTCTCACAATCTGCTTGGACGGCGCACGCTTGCTTGGTCCCTCAGCTGTGTCCACGATCGCCTACAACTGTCCGCAGTTGCAAGGCTTCACAGCCGTCGGCTGCGTTGGCATTGGCTTTGGCGCCATGCGCTTCTTGTGCAAGTCTTGTCCGTCACTGCACACTTTGAGGGTCTCTGGTTGCCATCTTGAAACAGATCCGCAAACCGAAGCAGACAAGCTGGCACAGACCATCGCGGAGAATTGCCCCCAGCTGCGCTTCCTGTCGCTGTCGCGGCTCACGCAGGAGGACAGCCTCGAGGCGCTTCTTCGCTGCCCTTCGTTGGAGGCATTGGACCTCTCCAGCTGTGAGCAGCTGCCCTGCAGCGAGCGCTTTGCCTCGCTCTTCGCGCCTGCAGCGCAGCGGCTCACGTCCCTGAAGCTGGCAAACTGCTCCCGGCTCCTCTCTCTCTCCGGCCACTTCACGCAGCTGCGCACGCTCTACCTCGGCGGCTGCGTGCGCTTGAGCGATGCCGAGGGCCTGGGGCTTCTGCTCCATCACTGCCGAGGAACACTGACTCTGCTGAGCCTGGTGGGCTGCCAGAATCTATCCGCTGACGGCCTGCGGAGAGCCTTCGGTCAGGCAGGCACGCTGGCCCTTGAAACCCTCGTCTTGGGGGGCTGTCGTGTGTACGATGAGCTTTGTGAGCTCTTGGGCCGCCAGTGTCCCTGCCTGACCTCGCTTGATCTCTGGGATTGCCCCATGACCAACGCTGGGGTCTCCGCCATCATCCAGGCAGGGGCGCCCCTGTCAGAGCTGAACTTGAGAGAATGCCGGCGTGTCACGGGCCACGTCCTACAGGACCTTTGTGAGTCCAGGGCTGTGAGGCTGCGCACACTGGATGTGTCTTTCCTGGGGACGGTGACCGACGAGCACCTGCTTCCAGTGGTGCAAACATTTGCTGATCTCAGGTGTCTGGTCTGCGGCGGCGCCACTTGCACCATAACCGAGAGGTTGCTGGAGGCTCTGCCTTTGAACCTGGAAGCCTTGCACCTGGAGGGAGCGCCGCAGCTGCGCGACACTGCGCCGATTGCGCGGCTCCGTAACTTGATGGCGCTCAGCCTCGAGGACTCCTCGGCATCGCAGCTGTCGCAGCTTCTTGAGTCTCTTGACGTCCGGAGCTGCAAGATCACCTCGCTGAACATCTCGGGCTGCGTGCTGGATGATGACGCCATCTTGCGCCTGAGCTCCGTGCTCCCGCGATTGCTGGAGCTCGAGGTCTGCAGCACCCAAATCACAGATCGTGGTCTCCGAGCCATTGTCCGGCACTGTTCCAGGCTCTTGCACCTCGGGATCCTGAACTGCGACAACATCAGCAGAGGCGCCGTGCAGGATGCCCGGCAGGCACTGCCTGCCTGCATCCTTAGCTTCCTGGAGACGTAAGAACTTCGCCGAAGATCTGAGTTTTCCTGAGGTTTTCCTGAGTTTTCCTGTTTCCTCGCGCTTTTCTGGGGGCTGGTAGTTGTTCGCGCGAAGATTCCCCCAAGCGTGCGGGGGGCTCATCCTCGGAGCCGTGGTCACGAACAAGCCCACAAGCTGCTGCCAGGCCAGGCAAAGAGGGCTTCAGGGCTTCTGCTCGCCTGCAGGTTCTTAAAAAAGAACTTGGCCACTTGGCCTGAACGGCTGGGATGAGAAAGCCTGCGGAATCAGGGACGTTGCTGAAGTTGTGTTGCTGCTCGTTTGCCTACTGAGAGCGCGTCATGCGCTGACTCCCGCATGCAGCCGCACATGCGCAAAAAGGGCACCTAAAGCATCCTTCTTGACATGTTCAGCAACACTATCCAGGATGTTGTTTCAGGAAAGCCCCTCCTTCTTTAAAGACCTTCCAGAAGCTGTACCAATAAGGATCCTTTCCAGGTAGGACGAACTCGAGGTCCTCAGTTTGAAGCTTGGTTTCTGCTCACCAGGCCGCTCTGAAACCCTAAACCTTGAACCCTTAAACAGCCCAGCAGCCACATCACGAACACCCTGAACATCCCTGAGCCCTAGGCCTAAACCCGAAACCTAAACCCCAGTAGGCCTAAACCCTTTTTCTTCTGTTGCTGGGCTTCCTCCCTTGAAGCCCTCAGCCCACGGGGTCGCGCTGGGTTGGCCAAGGCGCGCAGCTCCGTGTCGACGGAGGCGGCTTCATTCTGCCTACTGGGGCTTAAGAAGGAATAGGGTTGTGGGGGGTTGTTTAGGGACCGAAAGCTGTACTTGTAACCCAAATTGCTAGGTCATCAGCCCCAATTGCGGGGCGAACCCCAGAATCCTAGGCAAGTGAGGATCCAGATGCTCGTATGTGATGCCGCTTCGCATCCCTTCTCCCTGGGATGTGAACGGCCTGGCCAAATGCTCGAGGCGCCCGAAAGCTTGAGTCCGTCATCTTGCAGCATGGTGCTGGAGTTCTCGCGGGATTCCTACGGCCGACAATCCATCCTGAATCACCGAATTCTCGGACCCTAAGTTGCTTTTCTGCTCGATCGGTGTGCACATTGGCTGTCGGACACAGCTTGCGCACCACTGGCCGGGCGTGGGGCACGCTGCAGGAGTGCGGGCAATGCGCTAAGTCGCCCACTGGGGGACTCCTGGCCCAGTCGGCTGACTACTCACTGGTGCATTCGTTTGCTGTGCATGCAGGGTTTGCAAGGAAGCCGGCGTCTTGGGTCTTGAAGTTGTCTGCGAGGACACAAACAGAGACTCAGTTGAGAGCACCCCAACGTGTGGGCGGTTATTCAAATCACCTTTTGCTGCCTTTTCCCAGTAGGGTTCCTGATGAACAAGCCCCACCTACACCCCTTCCACTTCCACCCCACAGAGCTGCAATTTTACCCTTGACAGGCCAGTATCCCGGTGCCCTTCTTGCCAGCGTTGGCTGATGCCCAGGTGTCCGTGGGCTTTAATGAACTAAATGGCTCACGTTTAGGATTCAGGACTTAAGGATTTAGGTCCCCTGCCTTGAGAAGGCCAACTAAGCACCCCGCTGTTGCCCAAATTGACCATTGTCGTGCAGATGTTTGCTAGTCGCTGTGCACAAAGGCAGAATGTAGCTAGCCTAGGCGGACATCGGGATTCCCACCTACTGAGTTACCCTGAACCCTTAAATAATTCTCGCCACCCAAACCCAAACCCTAAGCTAAGGGGAGAGGATAAAGCCGGCAAGCCTTGGCAAGAGGCGGATCGCAGGTTAAAGCCGTTCACAGCGGTTCCATCCATCCTGCTCTGAACCCTAAGCCCTACACCCTAAACCCTACACCCTAAACCCTACACCCTAAACATCCCTAAACCCTAAACCCCAAACCCCAAACCCCTAATCCCTAAACCCCGCAGCCCCACGAGGTCCAGGCGCGGCCGCCCTGCGACACAGTTTGGGTCCAGGCTCCCGCTTGGGTTCTCGAAGCTGTGGTCCATTTTCTGTTGGGGCCCCTAAATATGTAGGGCACTTGCCCAGACCCCTGGGAGGATCCAAAAAGTAGAACCCCCAAATAGTACCCTTTACTACGATTGGGTCATTTTAGAAACCATTAAGGGGATCTAGTTTTTGGATCCTCCCAGGGGTCTGGGTGTAGGTAGGTGAGCATGTATGTGCAAGTCATGAAGAGGTATTAGTATGAAAACTAAACGACTTCAAAAGACATGCATTGATGTAACCATGTCCAGCATATTCTTGGGTACCATAAATGTCAGGCATTGTTAGAAGGGAAACTTTGACCACCCTTCTGCCTGACAGAGCTTAGAGCTTGAAGGGTTTAAGAGTTTAGGGTCTGAGGGTTTCAGGGTGGTTGAAGGGCTTAGGGGCTGAGGGGGCTTAAGTAAGAGTGTAGGGACAGTTCCCGTGTTCAAGGCTTAGGGAGTAGGCGTTCGCTTAAAGGTAAACCCTTCGCCCTAAACCCGCAGAACATGATGCCGAGGTCTGATACAGTTCCTGAAATTATGGCATGCCGGAAGACCCCTGAGACGCTTGAGCTGTAGGCCTCACATCCCAGGAGTGCGCAGTCCATAAAATCTTCGAACCTTTGGGGAACCTTTGGCCCTGAAACCCTGATTGCATCAGGTCCAGGCCGAGTCCGCAGAGGCCGAGACGCAGACCAAGGCCCGAAGGGTTCAACGGAATATGGAGAGGAGTTTCGTGGTTCATGGAAAATCGGTGCGATGGTTTAGGGCTTAGGGAACGGAAGTGGGCGGTTTTCCGCCCGCGATCGGTCAAAAAGGAGGCAGAAATGCGGAGCTCTGATTCAAAGTCGATGTGCTGGGCGGACAGGCAGCGCCCGATCCACCAGCGCTAGTGGAGTCCTCCTCGCAGACCCAGGCTGTGGGAGACGTTGCATGCAGGTCCTGGCAGCGCGTGCATGCCAACTCTGACTTGCCAAAATGCTGGAAGACTCAACGAAGTAGTACCAGTCTTCGGTGCCACTCCAGGAAGAGGCTCCTGCGATACCGAGCATGGCCGTGGCTGAGGCATGCGGCGTTCTGCGCCGGAAGCATCGCAATGCGTAGCTGAGGTAGTCCCAAGGAAGGACGGAAAGGAACCATCGGGAGCATATTGGGCTTCTGTTCAACATTCGCTGACATCTCCCGCGCAGGGGCATGTTCTTTGGCTCAAAGAGCACAAGAAAGCCCCGGCCGATCTTCCTGCGAGGGCAAGCCAAGCATGTTTGGGCAGATGTCCCCGCCGGCCAAAGGGCCGGAGGTCTTCCGGCAGAGCAGCCACTTGGGTCTGCAGGGTATTGAAGCCCGCCTCGACCGACTCTCCTCACAGATGGACCTCTGCCTGTCCGAGGTCATGAGCTGGACGCTGGGAGGGGTTTAGGGTTTAGGGTTTAGAGTTTATGGGGGGTTGAAAGGCTTGAGTTCGAGGTTTGCTGAAGGATTGAGAAGCGTGGCCACTTGTGTGACTGAAGCCGCTGAAGCCTCCAAAGCGCGGCTGAGGAAGGGACTCCCGTCTGAGCAACGGGAGGCGAGTCCTGTGGAGGAGCCGACAATGGTAAATCTTCCCAATGTATCAGAGGCTCCGAAGCTCCTTGAGGCTTGGGCCATCGGTCCACCTGCTCAGTCCATGCCCTGCACCCCCGCACTGACTAAAGGTTTCTCGTTCATGCCGTACCCCTAAACCCTAAACCCTAAACCCTAAACCCTAAACCCTAAACCCTAAACCCCAAACCCCAAACCCCAAACCCCAAACCCCAAACCCCAAACCCCAAGACCCTGACTGCAGGTCCCTTCTCCCATGGGCCGGCGACCAAGCCACATGTCCAACGAGTCTTCCGCGGCTCCTTCCTCTGCCGAATCATCCGACAGGACACCGGGGAAATCTGGGGGGATCAGGGGCTTGACATGAGGATGTGGTTGCCTTCTCATCCTTAGATGAGTCTCAGAACGAAGATGCTCCACAAGCTACTAGGTGCTCCTCAGAACCGTCTTGAGGCACGAAGACGAGAACGCGCAGACTTCGACGCCGTACCGGGGAAGGTCCAGGCAGATGCTGCCTGTGCGGTCCATGGACCTGAAGGTGGCATGGAAGCTTCACGCCAAGGAGGTCACGCGAGAGCTGGGCACGCTCAGCGCGGCCGACAAACGGATCCAGCCGCTCCTCCGGCTTGTCTACCGGAGTCGCTTGGACTATGTCTGGGAACTCCTGGACGATCCCGCCTCCAGCAGATGGGCATGGCGCGTGTCCCAGTTCTTGAAGATGCTGGTGATATTCTCAGTGCTGATCTCCAACTTGGAGACCACAAAGCCACCCATGTTGGACCGGAACCTAGTGGTGGTCCTGCAGATCAGCTTCGACGCCGTGTTCTTGGTGGAGTTCCTGTGCCGCATCTTGTCCGCGCCTTCGAAGAGATCCTACCTGCGTGATCCATTGAATTGGGCCGACATGCTGTCTGGATTAGGTCTGCCCCTCAGGGCAAGCGTGGGCTTTGGTATTGAAGGCCTCGGTCGTGTCGGCTGGGGAATGGAGACGATCCAACTCATACTGCTATACTTCCTACCACTTGCGCGCCTCCTCAAGCTCCTGCGATACTTTGATTCTTTGAGGCTCCTGATTGACGCATGCGTCAACTCGGCAGAGGCGTTGCCTGTCTTGGCTTACATGCTGGCAGTGATGGTCCTTTTTTCTGCGACAATCATCTACTTGGTCGAGTCGGAGGACAACATCCCAACCCTGCAACATGCTCTCTGGCTGGCAATCGTGACGGTCACAACCGTCGGCTACGGGGACTACTTTCCCAAGTCTCCGTGGGGCTATCTGTGTGTTTCAGTGCTCACGTTTATCAGCGTGCTTTTCCTGGCCCTGCCGGTGCCTTGGAGCGAAAGCAACCCAACGACAAGAACGACAGCAACCACCACAACAGCAGCAACAACAACAAGCTGCTTCTACTCCTTCTCCTACTTGTACTTCTGCTCCTACTCGTGCTCCTACTCCTATTCCTGCTGCTGCCACGATTACCAGTACTCGTACAACTGCTGCTGCTGCTGCTGCTGCTGCTGCTGCTGCCGCTGCCGCTGCCGCTGCCGCTGCCGCTGCTGCTGCCGCCGCTGCTGCTGCTGCTGCCCGCCGCCATTAGGCTGCTGCTGCTCCAGAGCTACTGCTTCATACCCTCTACGACTACAGTCTCACCGCATCGGGTTGCGTCCAGGTGGGCATTGTGGGCCACGAGTTCACTCAGTCCTGGCTGTCGAGACGGCGCGTCATCCTCCAGACGCGGGTTCGCCGCTGCCTGAACAAGTGGGGGTACACCGCCGGTGACCTGCAGAGCACCAGCTGCATTCTGGCAATTTTTGATTTATTTCATTCCCTTGTTTTTTTTTTTGGGGGGGGGTTCGGGGGTCGGGGGTATTTTTTTTTTTGGGGGGGGGGGGTTCGGGGGTTTGGGGAGCTTTTGGGTTTTGGAGGCTTTCGGTTTACGTACGTTTCAGGACCCCAAAAGGGCTTGTGGGTTTTCGAGGCGTTTGGTTTACGTTTCAGGGCCCTGGCGGTTGCATTGGTGCCTCTGAGGATGCTCTTCGAGTATGCCGATGCAGATGGAGATGGCAGCCTTGCGCTCGTTGAATTCATTGAGCTCGTTCGGCAGATGAGAACCTCAACGCTGTTGATTTGCGCGTTCAGCTCGATTCGTCGTATGAAGCCCTAAAAAGGCCCGCACAGGAAGCAGCGAGAACAACCAAATCAAAGCACGTCAAAGAACGATTTCTATCATTGCAAATTCGCACGAAAACTTAGGGCACCGTCCTGCCGGCATCTAGTTATTTGCTCACTCAACCCTCAACGGAGGAATCGGTGTCAGTGCGGAGGCAGCTGCTGAACTCTTCACGATGTGCCGGTGAAGCATTGAGCTGGAAAAAAACCCTCTCCCGAAGTCCCAAGATGCTCCTAAGCACCCTGGAGCTCCAAGTTGCATGGCTGCTGCCTTGTTTCCCCCTTTTTGTGACATGGAAGGTGGCCTCCTACCCTGCCGATGCATCCCAAGCCTGTGCCCAAGGTTTGACAGCGACCAGAACGGGACCTTGGATCGCACGGAGGTGCTGCGCCATCTGTTCCCGGACGAGTACGTCCGGGCGGCTTGGCTGCATGCTTCGGCGAAATTTGCGAGATTCTTTGAGCAAGGTTGACATTGGGGGTTTAGGATATTAGGGTACCTTATTGGGGTCCTTGAAATAAAGGTGGGGGTCTATGTTTGGGGTTTTGTTGCATGTGCTCCGGGCGCAGGAGAAGCACCTGATGCACCAGGCTTCCTTGGAAGTCTCGAAGCACCGGATCGGTCAGGCGCTCGACCAGTGGGGCTCCAGCCGTCTGTCGGCAGATGATCCCATGAAGCCACCAGTGGAGCCTCCTGTGGTGGAACCTCAGCCCAGTGATGGGCCCCTGGAAAGCCAGATCGACATGCCTGTGTTCGTAGGACGAGATGAGCCTGATCCCGTCTGCGAGCAGACGGTCTGAGCCATTCGTGTTGATGGTCTTTGCCACTTTGAAGGGTGGCACACTGTATGAGGCTCAGGTAGTTGTCACGGAAAAGGCGAGCAGTCTGCAACACCGATCGGAAGCGATGTGCAGTGTGCAGATGCCGAAGGTACCGGATCTTCGGTTTTTTGGAATCGCCACTCTCCGGTTTTTCGTTTAGTGACTTGCGTACGCATAGTCAGAATCTTCCTGCAGGGCATGCCCAGCTCCTAGGGTATGGGCCATCCTCATGCCCTAGCTAGCCCAAACCCAGTGGCGAGCAAAGCCCTGCAAAGCCTGAGAAAGCTCTTGCGCCAACCTTGACAGCAAGCGCTTGTTTCACAGCGACCATGTTGTTCCCTGTCGAGCCGGCCGGGCCCTGCGAAAACCTGCTCACGCCATATACGGTCACATACAGTACACGTGTTTGCTGGCTTCCGTTGCGATTACCCCCTCCACGCACGGAGAAGAAGCTGTTGCTGCGTCTTCAGAGGTGGAGACTCCCCCACCTTCGCTGTCAGTGGAGACGCAGACAGAGGCTCGGGCACAAATGCCATGAGAGGGCAAAGCTGTGCGTTGCAGCCTTCGAGAGGTGGAGACAGCCCCGCCTTCGGTGTCAGTGGAGATGCAGACGGAGGTCCGGACCTTCCACGCCCCGCTGTCATGCCGCATGCCAGCGGCCACCCGGAGAGCCCTTAACCCCCCGAGTAATGAAAGTTATACCCTGAACGGCATTGCAACCCTTTCATACTTGACTGCTCTCAGTCATCGAGGCCCAAGCAGCACCGGCTGCTGAAGAAGCAGGGGCGCAGACAGAGGCTTAGATCTTTGCTGGGAATTCTGCGGGGACTCTGTTGAAATGTCCCTTGGCCCTTGGCAGATGCCCACACCAGGTGCGATGTGCGGGTCTGTCGTTGCCTGTGCCAGGCGCCTGCGACCCCTGACATGCTCCCTGCACAGACGCAGACGGAGGCAGGGTCTGCTTCTCTTTGTCATAGTTGGGGAACATTTTACATCTGTAAGGGTACTTAAACCCAAATAAGGAATAAACAATTCGATTTTTAGCATGATCCCCACAATGAACTAGTTCTGGGGCGGCGTAGGTGTGGCCAATCAGGAAGCGCTCCCCTGGGCCAGGCAGTGGGCCAACCGTCGGTGTCAGCAGAGACACAGACGGAGGCACATGGAGTCGTAGGCATGCGATTCTTTTCTCCGTAGGGAGGAGATGTCTAAAGCTTGCGGCTTCTGTTCAGGCCCAGGCTCCTGCATCGAGAGCCGTAGCGGCACAGACGGAGGCCTGCTGAGTTTATAAATGTAGCTTACTGGGGTCCTGATTATAAAGGGATCCTACTGTTTGGAGGTCTATAATTAGTGGTCCCTGTATGTATGTATGTACCACCGATACCACTTTGTGCAAGAAACGAATGCCCCCCTCTTGTTCCGTCGTCCTCAATCTCCTCATGTGCAATTCAGAGAGGTGCCTCTCTCAAGACAAGCCTCCATCCTTCGTCGTATGCGCATCCGAAGCCAAGGATCTCCGTCAGCGATTCTTGAGTACATGGGAAAGATGAAGTACCTCTTGCGCTAGCCCAGTGGCATGCTGGGATTGGGAGAAGGGCCACGCAGTTCGCTTCGCTTGTCTTTGAGAGGATCCTTTTCTAGGTTGGCGTCCCCGAACCCTTGCAGCCTGCAGCATGTTCAGGCAGAAGAGGTGCGGCAGCCACAGCCCTGCTGCGAGTGGGTGGCCTAGCAAGGCAGAGAATCTTCGGCGTCGTCCCTGCAACTTGAAGGCACTGAGCCTGAACCATCCGATGCCCCATGCCAGCATCCCAGGTCCTCGTCTCAGACGGCTCCTCCGGTTCAGAAAGCGGCGTCGGCTCTTGGGCGACAATAATGGTTTTGGGGAGTATTCTCCCACTACGTGCTACTCCTAGTACTAAAGCCCTCCCCAATAGAGTTCCTCATGACTCGCCCAGATCCTGCTGTTGGGGGCTTTAATGGGTAGGGCCGGGGGGGGGGGGGGGGTTACTTAAACGTGTCCCGCAAGCCTGGACCTGCTGTTCCAGCATTAGGTTCAAGCCACACCGGCGAAGGGTACGAGCTGCGGGACCCAGGCACCTGGCCTTTGTGGGAGATGTGAACGTGGCTGGAAGCTCCAGACCTCTCCAGACTGCAAACCCTGAGAAGTCAAAAGCCCCATGAGATTTGTCCATTGTCCAGCCGCGCTCCCCGTGCCCGCACCTCATAGCTACAGAGAGGTCCCGGTGCAAATTGCGTACATACCACCACCAAAATGAAAATGCAGGAACCGTGACCCCCTCCCTCCTCACCGGCGGCAGGTGGAACGCCCCAAAGTGGGCCATCAGGCGGTGCAAGCCGAGGTTGGGGGCATTTTTGAGTGCTTCGTTGGGAACTGGGGGGGCGGGGGGTTTAGGGTTTTTGGCAGGGAAGGGTCTAGAGACCCTACCCTAGACCCGAAACCCTAAACTCTAAAGCCTGAACCCTAAACCCCTGAGCCCTAAGCCCCCTAAAGCCCTAAACAGCCCCCCGCCCCATCCCCAAACCCCTCCATGTGCCACAGGATTCCACGGCGCAAGACGCGCTGGAACGGGTGAAGCAGCTGGAGGCCGGTAAGCCTTGGTTTCGCAAGGACTTACGGGTTTAGGGTTTAGGGTTTAGGGTTTGGGGTTTAGGGTTTAGGGGCTTATGGAGTTTAGAGGGCTTATCTGGGGTTCCAAGTATGCATAAGGCAAGGGCCATACTGGGGGGAGTATAGGAAAATCTCATCGATGTTGTGGCTTTTTGCAACTCCACCTCCTGCATGTAGACGCTTGCTTCGCGCAAAGTACAGATTAGGGCCGCGAAGCAGAAAGCAAAATCTCGAACTTGAGACTCCCTAAGTCGCACAACCCTAGGCCCTGTAGTACAGTGGCACATGTTGCCTCTAGATGCCTCAGGGACTCTCGAGTATCCTAGCCCCGGGCCTAGACCTGGGGTCACAGATCCCCTGATTTCTTGAACCTTCGCATGCCCTGAGCCTTGGGAGGATCTAGTAGAATGTAGACGCACGGCTTAAAGCCCAAACCCAGAACCCAGGATGGCCCTGTCTTAGGATCCCGCTTTCATCCCGCAGGCCGCATCCGCTGCAGAGGCTGGCCAGCTTCAGGCCAGGGCGTCGGTTGCTTGGGGTGCAGGTCTGGCAGAAAATTTCCCAGTCGGTTAGAAGTCATAGCCTGGGGTCTTCGTTTGCAGGCTCGAGGGCCTGATTTAGGACATGACCCGGTGGTGGGATCGCATTGCGGGGTTCATGTTTGTGGTTTCAGCAGACGGCGCTTGCGGCTTGAAATATTCATACGGGCATGACGATCGGTAGTTCAACTGTACCGTGCATGTCCGTGTCCTAATCCCTAAACCCTAAACCCCAAACCTCCAGGCGTGGCGCGACATGGCTGCGGCCAAGGCGTTGGGCAAGCTGAACGCGGGATGCCTAGTGTACTTGCTTCTTCCATGCATTTGCAGCTGTTATGGCGGTTTACGAAAGTAGTAGGGACCCTTCAACATGTGGGACCCCTTCTTGATGCCGCGCAATCGACCCCCCCCCCCCCCCCCCCGATGGCCCCCCCCCCCCCCCCCGCCCCCTGCCGGGTAACCCCCCCCACCCTAAAAACACCACGGACCGCGGTGGGGGAGGGGACGGAGAAGCCTCAGCTTAAACCCCAAACCCTGAACCCCAAGCCCTAAAACTTAAACCCACCAATCAACGACAGGAGGGAGAAGGGTAAACCCGAAACCCTTTCCGCTTTAACCCTGAACCCTCAACCGTTATGCTGGCCCATCTAGACCCCCCCAAATAGTGACATTCCCTTATCATAAGGACCCCAATAAGGTACCCACAATTTCGGAAACCCCCTGCCAAGTTCCCTAGCCATGCTCTTTGCCCCAGTGTGCGGACGAGAATTTGAGGTCACCATCGTTTGCCCTCGAGCAGAATGTAACGTCAATGGGGTGAAGGCATCATCTGCACGAAAGTGTCCAGGGTTCTTGGCACTATGCCCTGCAATTGACGAATGAGATTCCTCGGTTCAGGGTTGAGGGTTCAGGGTTGAGGGTTTAGGGTTTAGGGTTTAGGATTTAGGGCACTTTGCCAGGTGGAGATGGACAGCTGGCGCTCTGAGCAGCTGCGAAGGGACTTCGAAGACAAGGCAAGTTGGATCAGAAAGCTCCAGGTGACATATGGGGGTTTGCGAAAACAGGGGACCCTTAAAATAGCCCCCCCCCCCCCCCATATCAGTAGGATTCCCTTATGATGAGGACCCCAATAAGGTGCCCCCTATTTTCGGAAAGCCCCATATTGAGTAATACGCTGAGTCTACAGGCAACTATTCAATATTCGCGGGGGTGCACTATCTGTTGCAGCACGTGCTCCTGCTTCACTGCGCACAATTCTTTAAGTATGCTTCATGAAGCACGCATGCTGTCGTATAACAGAGGGTCGCAGAATGTTTCAGCTAAAACCTGTGGCTACAAAATAGTCAAAGAAGTCGCGGAAGGGTGCATAAAACCCAAAGCCATGAAGCAGGATTGCGGTTTTGGCTTACCAGAATCCCGAGAACTAGATTTACAACATCAACTTCCACACAATACGGAAGACCCATTCCACAAAGAGTAGGCCTGTGAGTTCGCCAGCTGGAAGGTCCTCCCACGCTTCGTGCAGCTCATTGTGTCCGATGTCGAGAACCCGTCGTCCAGACCCTCGGATCACTGAAGATCTGAGGTCGAAGTTCCCCCGAAGTTCCCAAAAAACACGTCAAACAGCGTTGCGTTTGACTGTCACTGTTTCTGGTTTTGTGTGTGTGTGTGTTTTGTGGCATTCATCCAGAGCTGGTTGCCCGCATTCGCAAGAATGGCGAGTGCACGCTTATGCACTGATCTCGAAGCTTGATCACACGTTGACCGGGCCGCGAGTTTTAGGCTTGGCAGGCATGTCGCCTTATGGGATGCCGTGTGGGGAAACACCCGGTCACGAGGGTTCTCGACCCCCAAATGTTGGTAATGTTGGTTCTTCTCAGCCTCTCTGACCCCGGGTAGCATCTACAGTTCGCTTCTTCTTGAAGTCTGGGGTTCAGGGGTCCTCTACCAACCAAACCTAGCCAGTCCAACCACACCGCAACACGGCGCACGACCCTCGTTTCGCACCATGATGGAGCCTCTACTGGAGCCTCGACATCTGGCTGAGTGGCCGGGTGCAGCTTCTCTGCTCCAAGAAAGCTCTAAATCCCAACTTCTCCAAACGCCCACAAAGCTCCCAGAGTAGTTTGCTCGCAGGCGCATTGCTTTCTAAACTGCAGCTCCGCAGTTAAGGAGGGGATTTTGGATTCAGCGGCTGTTTTGCCGAGGTGAGCAGCCGGTTCACGGACAAGTTCACGGGCCTCCCCTTGTGCAGGAAGAAGGCCTCAATCACAATGCCCCATAAACAACTGAGTGGCGGGGTCATACCCTTTGGGTCCCAAACCCCAAATCCCTAGCAGTGGGTTCAAGGCTTCCAAGGCAATCGCCAAACAGAAGTAGCCTTGCGATCTTCTGTTGCAGCCCCATCCAAACTGGGCATGTGTGGGATGTTCGAAGTGAAGCGTGGCAAGCTGTGTTGGCTCTAAACATGTCTAGGTGGAAGCCAACAACGCTGCCGGCGAGCCAACGGGACTGGCACGGATACTTGGATGAGCGAATTTCGGTTCCTTCCAGAGGGATCGACCTGAGTAGCACACGGCTAGGAGCAACGCGACTGTTGTGTGGGACTAGGTATTGCTTGAGAACAAGGGAACCTATTTGTAAATAATTTTCAAAGGGCTTCAAAGCAACACCCAGAGGGGATGAGTAGGGAACTGCTATTGAAGCCGAGCTTTCAGGCAAGGCTTCAGCCAGTTCTTCACTGACACAGATGGCCTGAAGATCTGCCAGGGACCCTTGGCGGCACAAAGTACCTCCCTTCCTTGACATTGCAAGAGCTGGGAGCCCGCCAATTCCCAAATCCCCAGACCTTGCTGGACACCTCCATCGAAATTGCATGTCATAGAGGGTCGCGAAGATGTCTGTCAGGATTTAGGGCCTAAATTTTCAAGACGAACCTTCACCCTTGGAAACATCCTAGGCCGCAAGTACATTCCCGTCTCCACGGGCGAGAACCACCAGTGGCGGCCTTCCAAGAGGCAGCTCTCCGAACCAGGTTTGCACAACATTGACGCCCGGCCTGTGTGGGGGTTTACGAAAGTAGGGAGCCCCTAAAAAAGACCCCGAAAAAGTAGGAGCCCCTTAGAGTGAGGACCCCAATAGGGTGCCCCTAGTATCGTAAACCCTCATGCGATGGGTTTTCGCTGTCAGGGGTGGGAACAAGCTTGAGGGGACAAGAACTATCGGTTTTGATGGTTTTTGTATCAAGCACACCTCCGCCTAACTCTCCCGGGCGGAGACAAGACTCAGATGTCCCGTGCTGAGGAGAAGAACGAGGGCAAGCTGCGGGTGGACCCTCCCCCGACCAAGGTGTTCTCGATTCCCGTGCCTTGGCTGTCGCCTCCGTTCTCTTGAGTTGACCTCTTTCAAACATACGGCCCCTCACATCTCAGGCTGTCCAAAAGGGGCCGCTGATTTGGGTAGTTCCCGAAACAGGGGTCCCTTTCTTGGGTACTACAATGTACTATATACAGTATGGCTCCCCTAAACGAAGGACCCCAAAAAGAAACCCTGGTTCGCGAAATGGCAGAACTACGTTCGGTGGCTGTCCCTGAAGCCTGGGGAGCCGTAAGCCTTGGTAAGGAGCGGCGCCATGTCCGTCTGGTGGAATCCAAAGAGGCACCAGCCTGCCAATAGCTTTCGGGCCTTGAGGATTTATAACCCAGATTCGGGCCACTTATAACCCTACTTAGAACTTGGGGGCCCCCTACTTGCACTAAATCTATGTGATAAATTTAGTGTTTCAGGGCTTCTAGATGGTTACCCATAGAGCCACGGCTGCCTGGAATTTCACACCATGGAGCTTGGACGCATCTCGGAAGGCGCAGTGTGAGTGTGGTTGCTCATCAGACTTGCCGTGGATGTGTGAACTGGGAAGTAGGCACCCCACCTCCCTCAACCCGAAACCCTAAACCCTAAACCCTAAACCCCAAACCCCAAAAACCCCGAAGTCCACGCCAGGAGTACGGAGACCTTTCGGTCGGGAAAGGCGGCGCAGAGTCTGCGAGTCTCATGCAGTAGTACTATTTAAAAAATTCTATCATGATACAAAGCGTTAAATACAATAAGAATACAATGATAGCAAAGTACCTCGAATAAGAATGTGCTAATAATGCTTTCGTAAAATACTATCGTATATACAACAGAAATCATACAACAGCCCATTAACGTTTTAATATCAGCCATTGTTTTTATTAAGAATACAATCGTATCATTATACAAGTGTTCGAGTATACGACCATTGCAGAACAATGTACTATTCTTGTCTAAGCGTACCATGATGTCATAGTATAGAATAGTCGTAGAAAAGTATCAACCGCTATCCCAAAGCCTCAAGCTTACTGTTGGCTCGTAGGGAATGTCATGGGTTCCCCTACTCCCCCCCTCCATACTCCCCCCCCCATGGTTCCCCCCAGAATTAAGGCTATTTAGGGATAATTAAGCCTAATTGAGGTTTTTTAAGGGAGGAATCTGGGGGGGGGGGGGGGGGAGTATAGAGGGGGTAGTAGGGAAACCCATGAGAATGGGGGAATGAGGTACCCTATACAATCCCTCGGAGGGTATATGCGGCCCTGGTTCCCTCATTCCCTGCTAAGAACCAGGACCAGGGGGTTCCTAAACCCTGAACCCTGAACCCTAAACCCGAAACCCGAAACCCTAAACCCTAACCCCAAAATAAACCACTGGGGCTTTCGGCAGGCATCGTCCTCCGAGCACCCGGTGTGCGGGCGGCGGAGGTCGCCGCCCGGGAGGTTGATGTCACCGTGGAGATGCAGCGGAAGGACAGCCCGTAAAAGGGTTTAGGGTTTAGGGTTTAGGGTCTAGGGAGGGCGGGGCCCCGGGGTCGGACCTGTTCGGGTCTTTTCGAGAATAGGAGGTCAGCCCAGTCTCTATGGTAAGGGATCTTGCATTGGGCTTGAAAGCCCCATCATCATTCTCATTGGTCGTCTGATTCTTGCTTAGTTATTGTTATTATTACTGTTCTTCTTCCTATTCTTGTTCTTAGTACTCTTGCCAGCATCATTCTTGTTATTGCTCTTCTTCTTTTTTAGCATTCTCATCGGCAATCATCACCAGGGCAAAAGGGCCTCTCAGAGCCCAGGCCAGGAACCACGAGTTGGACGTGAAGCGCAATGGCATAGGCAGGGCAGCGCCCCATCATCTTCTGAGTAGTTTAGGGTTCAGGGTTCAGGGTTTAGGGTTTAGGGTTTAGGGTTTAGGGTTTAGGGTTCAGGGTTGGCCAGTTGACAAGTGTTCATGAGCATCAGCATTCCAGGGCTGTGCAAAATTGCAACATTCAGAGCACGATGTGTTTTGCGGACGGCAACACACCCAGCATGGCCGCTGTATGTACACTGGCATGAATGTCATGCCCATGTATTGGTAGAGGTCTCGAAGCCCTGAGCCGCAATCGCTTATTGCCAGCATGCGTTTTGGCTCGAGCGGCCACAACTTTCCGAACATCTACTGCGCATTTTTCAGGTCTGGAGAGGCGGGCTTGAGTTAGTAGGCACATGTGGCGCCATGCGGTCAGGCCCATGCCTTGGACCTTTGCTACGCGTTAGCCATCCTTAGCTGAGGCGTCATGGGCTGTGCTTCCAGCACGACCGTGGTGCATGACGACATGGAAGAGATTCGGGTCACTTTCGAGGACCCTGCTGCACTCATCCCAGACATTCCCAAACTTCACCATCGGACGAGTAAGGGGTTTGCAGCAAGCACATCTTCCAAAGCAGCTGCAGGACCGCCGAGGGCGATTGATCACAGAGCACAACAAGCAGTTCAAGGATGGACTGAGGGCTTATAAGGCTTTAGTCAACGTCTTGCATAGTCCTGTATGGTATGCTACGGTGTCTTGCAGTCATTGCGAGCTTGGTCAATGGTCCAGGAACCCATTCGACGCTTCAACTCCTTTCGCTGCAGCGATAAGGACGCGGGTGGAATCACTGCTCCAATCGCCAGTACTCATACCCATCACGTGAACCAGTTGCTTGGGGGCATGAGCTGAAGTTTTCGTTAGATTTTAGTTTTGCCGCTGCCGCTGCCATTGCGCTGTGTTGTTGTCGTCGCCCTCGCCTTTGCCTTTGTTGTCGCTACCAATGGGCTGGCGTTGGTCCGGGCCACCTTGCTTTGTGTGGGCTCTTAGCGCGTAAGTCTTGTTCTTAACTTCGTTTGCCCTCTTCGGCGTCAACGGACAGTAAACAGCTGCAATGGCTACTGAGTCCGAGCACATTCTCTGTTGTCTACACTCCTGGGAGTTTTGCGTTTTTAGGGGAGGCTATCTCCTTCAAGTGCTGGTGGATCTTAGTCATCATGCCGGTCCTCGGAAGCTTCGCTCTGTTTTTGGGGGCGGTTGGGGGGCAGTGCAAGGGCGGTTGCCTTAGCCCCTAAAGCCATGCGCTTACATGCGTTGTCAGTTCTGTTTTGTCCGAGCTGGGGCCGCAGGGCACTTGATTGGCTCTTGTAATCCCGTTCGGGTAATGATTCTGATCGCGAAGAGACCGGAAAATGCTGTACTTGCTCAAGTTGGTCAACTTTGCCGAAGAGTCCCACGCGTCGGGTTCAATGTCTCTTGCGGCCTGGTCGTCCTGGAGAACGGAGCCCGTGATACGTTGCTGCAACAGCTTCTGTTTTGCCCGAAAGGCGGGGTGCAATTTTGTCTTCGGACCGCCATGTGATGGCAAGTCTTGTCCAATGTTTTGCAGTTCGTTGCCGGGCATTTTTGGGGTATTTCTCTTTGTTGCGATGCCTGCCAAGGCCTGGGAATGACTCGCGCAAGCATCTGAGTGTATAAGTGTATGGCTGTGTGAGTGTATGACTGTGTGAATGTTTTTGAAGATGAGTGTATGAAATGTGTCCTTTGCTGCCGTGGCCTATGATGGAAGAGCCCGCTTTCATCTAAGGCTCAACAAGTTCTTGGCCGCCATCGACAAGAATCCGGAGCTGTTGGAAAAGAGGGTTCATCCGAGCCAACGCGCTGAACATCCCAGCCTGGATATCCTGAAAGCCGACAAAGGGACCAGCAGCTGGCACAGCCTAGCAACGGTCAGCACAGCTTCCGAGGCTTCTAATATCCCTGGCAGCTTCGCGTAAAGGCTCCGAGAGCTTGTTCCCATTTCCTTCCATCAGCGTGATTGCAGCTGGGCTTCCCTTCACTTGTTTTGGTTGGACGTTTGGGGCTTCGGTGCCCGGGGACCATCGTAGGTACCATGATCATCAGCTAAGCTTCAGATGTTCACAAGTCCGCAGATGTTCCAAAACAAGCAGGGAAACCCAGGAGCTGCTTGACACAGTGACAGTGGCCGACGGCGGCAGTGCCAGATGCCAATCGGGTCTACGAGCTATTGCTTTAGAAATCCGAGAGTGGGTGTCATAAACCAACACTTGGTGTATTTGGTGGCCGTCCCCAAGGTGGAGCTGTCACGAATCCTTCCGAGTAGCGCAGTTTCGTTGTGTCCTGCCATGCTTTGCCTGTATAAACACGGTCCTCAAGAGCTGCCTTGCGCAGCGCGCTCTGATCCCCGGGTCCCAATGTGGCTCGGCGGGTCGGGGCGCGAGGATTGACTTTTTGTTGCAGAGATGGGAGGATGCAGCCTAGCCAGACACCGACCGTGGAGCGGGATCGGTTGTGAAGCACGACTTCACGCTGTTTAACCTCGTGCACTTCTTTGGCCTCTTCGACAAGCCGGCCATTTGAAAGTGACCCGTAAGTCCTTTGTGACTGCACACAAAGCTAGCTCCAATCCCATCCTCCTGACACCTCTGCAAGTCCCCAACCCTAGGGGCCTAAGGGCCTAAATCAAACCAATCCCCGAAGTCCAAGCATTTTTTCATTGATCTCTGCCTGCGGGCCACATGAGCACATGGAGACCTGCGTCCTGCCCGGATGGGTTCGGGATGGGAAAGCCGGGAAAGCCCTGAATTCAAAACCCGAGGGTTAGAGCGCAGGGTGGGCACTTGGGCCTGCTTGCAAGACTAAGACATGGGAGTTTCCAATATTCGGGGTACCTTCTTGGGGTCCTTGTTATAAGGGAATGCTATTTCTGGCGGTCTAGGGTTGAGAGTTGAGAGCGAGGGTTTAGAAGAGCGGAATCGCATGACTGCGTGTTCTTCATGACGTCGAGCAACCGTTTCATACCCCATCCAGGTGCAGGCGCCTTGTCGCCAGAACATTCCATTTTTCAAACGTTCTCGGTCGGCAAGAACCAGAGTGCACTAGCCAGATTCCTTCCTTGCGGCAGCAGAGCCTGCCGCCGCGATTTTTTTCTTTTTCGGTTCTTCTCCCCGAAGGCCATGACGGAAGAGCGTACAGCGGGGAGACCGACGTGTCCTTTGCACGGTGCGCTCGCAAAAACAGCCTCTGCAACACCCACCTCAGGTGGACTAGTGACATAGTTCACCTTGTGCCAAGATCCATCACTTCCAGAATGTGCAGAACCGAGTGGTAGAGCAGCAGCGAAGTGTAACCAGCAAAGCTTCCAGTTTGGCTGGCGGCCAAGCGCCGGATCTGCGAGCGCATGCCCCCTACTTCATCTTGCGCACGACAAAAAAGTCCGATCTTTCTCAAGCCCAATATCTCCGAGACATCCGAGCGCTGCTCGCAAGACTGCAGTTTCATGAGGCCAGCCAGGTTCTGGGCCGGCTCTTCGGGAAAAGGCTGATGAGGGGGCATGCCAGTGCCCCTAGTGGAGTCTTTACCAGTGCCCGCAAGGTGCCTGGAGCCTACTGAAACTGCAGTGTGGGAGCATGTTCTTGGTGCCCTGTGCCCCTCCGCCGAACCCAGCCTGCACTGTGCACAGAGGGTGAACAGGCTTGGCAGGGGGTTGGCGCAATTTGTAAGAGAGTTGCTGGCGGGGTCGTTCCCTCAGTGAGCTGTCTTCTGCGTATGAATGGCCGTGGCAGGTGGGAACGGTACTGAAGTTGGCATTGCCCATAGAATCTGAGAATCTCGGCCAGGGAGGGCAACAAATCTACAGGGCAAACAAATCGTGTTCTTTGCTCGGGGTGTAATTGGTGTCCGAAACTAGGGGTACCTTATTGGGGTCCTTATTTTAAGGGAATCCTACTTTTTGGGGGTCTTGTTCAGCGGTCCCGTATTCTCGAAACCCCCCACAAAGCTCAGAACTTTGCGTTTCACGGCGCTAGGATATGCTTCCTTGAAGTCTGCCTGGCCATTCCCGAAAGCAAGCACCGAGCTGTGTAGAACACACACGGACAGCTTCCTGTTCGCTTCCTTCCTTTCCCTCATATTGAGTTCACGTTCGGCCAAGCGTCGCGAACCCAAAAAGTTGCGCCTTCCAGGGTTTAGGTCAGGCAGCAAGCAGGCCCAAGACCCACAACCTGTAAACCCTAAGCCCCGGACTCTGGGGTTACATCTAGAGCCTTTGCGTTCAATCGCTGGAGAAGCTGGGAGCCTGCGGTCATGTGCAGGTTGCCGCTCCCTTGGCGACAAGACCTATCGGCATCCGGAGTACATGACGCGCTTCTTCCACTCCGGACAGCTCGTAGCTTCTGGGCGTGCGTTTTGGTGCACGGCCTTTAGGGTTAAGGGCTGCCATTTTTCTGGGGCTGCTATCTATTTTGAAGATAATCCCAATCCCTTCCCCCCAAATCCCCCCCCCCCCCCCCCCCCCCCCTTGTATCAAAAGAAAGCCTCAAGATCCAAACAGTTTTAGCATTAGGAGGTTTCTTATCGTTTGTCCGATCAAACATGAACTCTTCAGGGTTTCGGGCTCAGAGTCACGGCTAGTGGAAACTCAAGAATGAAGGCCTCAGGTTTTTGCTTCAGGCTTCCGACCCCCCTTCAACCCCCCTAATTCGGTGGAGGTTTCAGAAGGGACGGACGGGATCGGGTGTTGGGGCCGGAGGGTTTTAACATCAGGGGGGGCATTAATATTAGCGGGAAGGGGTTAGCCAGCCGGCATTGCCAGCGCGTCAGTTCAGTTGCTGTGCCACGCTTGCTGATGCACACACAGAGGCACATCAGTCATTTTTATTATTATTACTATGATTATGAGTATGATTATGATAATTACTATTAGCCTATTTCATTATCATATTACGTAGTATACGAGTTCTGCATCGCCTCTTGCAGGTTGGTAGCAGCTTTCATCGGGGAATGCATCTTGGCCCGCATGCCTAGCAGCAGCCGGAAGCAGTCGAAACTCGCCGACTGCAGAGGCAGAGTGACCCTAAACCCTAAACCCTAAACCCTAAACCCTAAACCCTAAACCCTAAACCCTAAACCAGGCATGCAAAGACCGAGCCTCGCAACAGCACGACCGTCCACATTGAGCTGGACCACAGGCGCGCGCCCGGGTTTTCCCGGTATGTACATTATGTATAAATAAAGAAAGAAAGAAAGAAATAAATAAATAAATAAATAAATATATATATAAACATATATATATATATATTTATACTTATATTTCTGTTTGTTTGTTAATCAATTAGTTTATTTCTTTATTTACTTATGTACACACATTTTTTCATTTAACTTTGCCTGATTGATTTCATATTGTATACGGTATCGTACGATATAGTACTAGAAAGCTTTTCACATATGTATCTATACATATATATATATACATGTATATATATATACATATATATATATATATTTACGTGTAAACTCGTGTAAATAGACATATTGTTATGCATTGTTATGTGTTGCGCCCATGGCTGCAAATGAAGTTGGGGCCTGTCTATCTTGTGGCAACGATGCTCGAAAAGCCCTTGATCCGCTATAGTGTCATGCATGGTTCTATCATGTTCCACTATCTTAAGTACATTCTTGAAACTTCTATTTGCGAAAGGTTTCATATTACTACGGGTTGCATTGCTATTATTTCGGTTCGTGTTGTTGCTATTCTAAGCTTGCTTGAAGCATTGTGTTTTTGGCATCATTCTACTATCGTCTCGCCGCAGGCCTCCCATGAAGTCGTACAAAGAGAAGCGCCGCGAACTGGCGCAGCAGGCCATTGCGCGGAGCCCGCAGAGCCCTAGGGTTTAGGGTTTAGGGTTTAAGGTTTAGGGTTTAGGGTGTCTCATTGAGGGGGGCTGGTGCTAACAGCACCCAGGCGCCCCGACTTGTTGAGCCCACACCCCCCGGCTTGCGCTCCATGACCTTTGCGGGTTCAGGGTTTCCGTGCTTTCTGATCGTGCTCACGGGTGTCATTCTTGTTGACAGTGGCGCAAGCTGCAAGCCTTCGGGTGATCCGAAGCCCCTTGAAGGATGCCTCTTCCAGGTCGTGGTATCTGAGGTTCGGGGTTGGGGCTGGCTGGCGCCTGGAATCCTTTTGAAGCAACTGTGGGAGGCCTCCGGTTCAGAGGTTTGGGAGGTCCGTTGCAGCGAAAATTGGAGATCGGAAGGCGATTTGGTCTTTAATAAATACGACCTGCCCTTGAGCATCTCTAAAGTGCCTCCAGGCTCCAGGCATGGAGAGGTTAGGCTTGCAGCCTGAAAGCCTCAAGAAACTCACAAGCCTTGAGGAGGCGGAGGGTGAGGTGGAGCAGCTCACTTTGAAATGGGAGGCAGACACCCTCAAGGCCCGGGATTTGAGGGAACTCCATGCGTTCTTCGTGGGGAATCAGGATTCAAGCGGTAGAGTCCCCGCAAGGGTCTAGGGGATTTAGAATCAAGTTCCTTCTGCCGTTTGCATAACAAAGGATAACATAATTATTACTACCATGTATCACTATCATTTCATGATCACCAGTATCATTACCGCTCTTATTTATATGAGTATCACTGTTCTTGTCTGTCGTTGTCATTATCTATTTGTTTCATGTTGTTTTTGTTTCGGCATATTTTCTCTGTCTCTCTCTCTCTATATATATATATATATCTATGTTATGTATTTATTCGAGTTCTTCTTCTAAGTATATACTATCTCATCACTATATGTGAAAATATGTTTATGCATGGGTGTCTACCCACATGCAAACCGGGCAGGAGTGCGACGAGAGATACGAGGAGCCGCTGGATTCGGATGACGAGCCTGTTGGCACAGGGCTTAGAAAGCCGAGAGCCCGATACCCCTTGAATTTGATAATTCAAGCATCAGCAAAGATACACACATAAATATATCGTATCCCCCCCCCAGTTATCCACCTGTTTGGTTGGTTCTAGAGCCTATTGGGAAGGGGGGGGGGGGAATAAGCTACTTCAGAGCTTCGGCCATATATATATATATAAATAGCAAATAGATGTAAGAAAGAACAAGTGCAAACATAAACATGAAAAAACACTACAGAAATAAATAAACATAGAAATTAACAAAGAAATAAATAAACATCTAGATATATATATATATATATAAATATAGATATAAACATAAATATAAATATAAATATAAATATAAATAAATAAATACATATATATATATATATACATATACGTATGCATGCAATCCACGGACACTTCAATTTGACGTCAATACCCCTTAGTAGATCTTGTCGCTCTGCTCGCGCCCCAGGCGAAGAAGGAGCCTAGTTCAGCCCGGAGAGCGACGTTGAACCTTGGCTCCCAGTAAGTTTTAGACGCATGGGCCGAACGTACCTGCAGAATCCGAAAATCTCGATAGTAGAATGCAGGTAGTGTGCTGGTATTTTTCGGACAGAATGGAAGCCCTGAAAGCCCAGGCCCTTTGCCGTCGTGAGCCGGGCTCTGACGAAGCTCTCACTTCGGTTTCACTTTTTAGGACGGATGTGGCGCGCGCGAGTTTCCTACACAGGAAGGCTGGCTCAGGGCTGTGGACTATACATATCCCCATTGGGAATCATTGTTTGTTTCTTGAAAAACCCAAGAGTATACTAAGAATCTTCTTTTTATTAACGTTCTAAGGGGAGTATAGTGGAGTGCTGCCATGGACATACTTTCCATCTCTATCCCTGCAGGCGTCGTTTGGCGACTCCCCTAAACCCTAAACCCTAAACCCTAAACCCCAAACCCCAACCCTAAACTCCACAGGCCTTTGGGCTGTGCTCCAGTTTTGAACAGCTGAACTGGCACACGCCTCCCCACACGCGACTGGTTCGAAGCAGTGGCTTTCGCTTCCTAAAGATGCTCACAGCCTCACACATATTCTTATGCTCACTACTAGTATATTAGTATATCATATGAGTGTGTTTCCCTGCACACATTCTTCTATGTTTGTTCCATCATGTTTTTCAGTTCTGTTACAGTATCTTTTGAGAATGGAGTTTCAGTTTCAGTATCACATGATTATACTGTTCAACCAATACTCTTAGATAAGTTGAATCTTCGATTGTTCGGTTTTGATGTTATATGGGGCAACATCATGCCACGACCACCATGCTTCAGCCAGGCCTCGCTCCATGTCTCACAAAAGGCCGAAGCTTCTCTAAACAGATGAAGACATTTTGAAGACGTCATGCTCAAAGCGGACATTGAGGAAGCGCAGCCGCGGAGGAGTCGATGTATGTAGGTGTCATGCAACTGTTCCTCAATGCCTTACAGCATCTAGAGCCAGTGCATTCTGGACAGCGAAGCTGTCTTTGCGCTGATTGTTTATGGAATTCGACAAGTCTGGCGCCACGCAGCAGTGTCCATAGAATCGGAGTATGACAAGCGTCAAAAGCGAGATGGAGCCATGAGCCAGGTTACCAGGTTTGTTTGGAAGAGACTGGTACGCGTATGCTGCGCAGGAACCCTCATGAACCTCCTCCTACGCCCCTACCGGTATCCACTTACAGGAGCCATGAACCCCTAAACCCTACGTTTGAGTGACTGCAGAGCAAGCCGAGGTCCAATACCGAGGTTGTCCAGAGCATGATGGAGGCTCTCCTTAAACCCCTAGAATCCTAAAGCCCTACAAGCCGTATAAGATCGTATAAGCCAAAAAAAAAAACGGTAAACAACCCCGAAGCCCGAAGACCCTGAATGCCCCGAAGCCCTTGCAGCCGCTAAGCTCATCAAGAATTTGAGTGTATAGCTCAGCCTGAAGCGGGCAGAGTTTGCCTGGTAGGCCCTGAAGCCCAACAACCCGAAAAAACATTCAATGTATATATGCCATATATATATATATCTCTCTCTCTACAGATGTACGCATATATATATATATATATTTATATTTATTTATAGTATATCTATTGCATTTTGTATCTGTATGAAAGTTCATTCAGTTGGTTTTGTTTTTCGAAGGAGCTGGGGTCCATCTTCCGGGAACGCCTCGCCGTGCCCTGGATGCAGGAAACTTCGTCGGCTGGGATCTTTGCTGGGTGGTTGTTTTTGGTTTAGGGCTTAAGGCTTAGGGCTACTTAGGACTAAGGGTTTAGGGCTTAGGGTTGAGGGTGACGAGGTCCAGCTTTGTCAGAAAGTCAAGGAGGTCAGGCTATAGGTCGTCCGAGCTGTGCCGAAAGCCCTGTTTTTGTTGTTTTTTCTGGTTTTGCTAGGCGCTCCTGTCAGCCCCAAACGCCGCTGCGGCGATGGCTGCCGCGAAGGCCGCGAAAGCTGCTTGAGGACAGAGAGGCCAATACCCCGAGCCAAAATGTAGATCCATTTAGCCGTATCAGCTGTCTGAGTCGTTAGATTGAACTGAGGTTGAAGCGTTTATTGTTGAATCAAGGGGTATTGGCACGTGCTGGCTTCGCCCACGTGTGCCACGGCTGAAGCTCCTTTGTGAACAGCTTCTGGCTGCGGCCCCCCAATGCACGTCTGAATTCCTTGACTGTTTAAGCGCATCCCCAGGGAGCCCAATATCCCTTAATTGAGGAGTATACTTTAAATATCTTTAAATCATGAAGGGATCCTTAACATAATTTAAGGTGTTTAAGGAGTATTGGGCTCTTTGGGTCAACGCGAGCTACGGCAGACGTTTTGAGGGCCGCTCGCGCCATTTGCGCAGGGTCTGCAGCGAGGCTTCGGATGTCTCCCGCTCCGGTGTGGCGCGAGGGGCTGCAAATGCTGCGCCTGCAGTCACCTGCAGTTTCACACAGGACCAGGATTTTCATTGTTATTATCAAAGTTCTTGTTATTAATTAATCAATTAGTTAATAATATTATTGTTATTATTATTGTTAGTATTATTGTTATTAGTATCATTATTCTTGTTATTATGAGTACTGTTAGCTGCTTCCTGGGCCTGGCTCTTGTGTTCTTAGGTCCCCAGGGCAGGCGACTGGAATCAGCCGTTCTGCTATGGGCATCGGGCTTCTTGCGTTACCGACGCCGCAGCAAAGGGGCGCCGGAAAGAAACAGCCGCTGGGAGACATGGAGTAAGTGTCGGTCCATGTGTCGGTCCCATTCTTAGTCTTGCTAAAGGCGGAGAAGAGTTCGTTCTGGCGTGGTGCCTTTCTTTTGCGGGTTGTCTTAGAGAAGTGACCAGAGAAGTGACCGCATGATGCAGGGTAGAAGATGCTAAAGGGCCATTCGGTCATCTTCTGGTAAACCCTGAAGCCACAGACTTTCGAAGCCGCATAAAGACAGCAAGCTTATCGAGCCTTCATGGACGTTGGAGCTTGCCCCTCAGGGCCCACCCTGAAATTCGCAACCCGGCGCATCTCGACTGGACGCGTGCTGAATCAGCATGGTGCCATATGCACCGGTTGCACGCTTCGGGAAGGCCCTGGTACGTTACTCCGCGTACCTTTGCGGCCAAAAGCGTGCAGTGGCGAGCCAGATATGGTTCGACTTCCATCCGGGAACAGGCCGCCAAAAGAAATTGTCGTACAAGTGCGCTGGAGCTTGGTGGTTCTGGGCGCTGTCAGGGGTGGCTCGAGGTGGAATTGCCTTGTCGCAACAATTGGCCGCAGCTGGCCTCATCTGCAGTGCGCCTTTGCTCCACATGTGCAACAATAATAGTTGCTGTGCGGCGCCACGCGTCAACCACGCCGTATGCCGCTGCACATGATGCAGACAATGCAGACGTTGCGAATGTTTGGGGCCACCGGGACGTGTTTGTCCTAGCTGGCATGGCATCGCCCTGTTCCCAGTAAGCGCGGGTGGCTAACGCAGTCGATGCGCGTCGTGCCAGCAGCTCCTTGGGCTGCAAGTTGCGTCAGAGGTCCTCGCCGTTCGCTGACCAGCGTTTGTGAAGTGTGCCCCATCTTGGCCGTCCATGGTGTTCATGCTAGCCTTGGGCCCATGTGTTTGCGAACAGCTGCGGATGGCCCACACCTGCTCAAGACCAACAGGTAGACTGACGCGCCTGTTTGGGAACTTGCCCATGCGACTGGACCTGGACGAGACCTCTGACAGCCCACGAAGCAGCCAGAATGTGCTGAGGGAGGCCTTAACGCAGCGCGACGCAGTATTCCGTCACGAGCAGTCATGGGAGAACCACAGCGTGAAGGAGTGAGTGAGGTGAGCTGACGAGCATGGAGGAGCGACCTCGCATGCCCACCCTCGCACAAGGCAACAGGTTGTCCACACAGTTGAAACCGTTGAAACCCAGCAAGCACCCCACGGATGTCTCACGCGACGGAGCTTTTCCCAATCAGGTCCCCCTCTTGGCAAGCGTAAACGCGACCGGTTGCCCACTGGGAATCGCATCTTCACCAGGTTTTGAGCTGGGCTGAGAATCGCAAGTTGCACTCTGCTTCTGCCCGCAACTGTGTATGGCTGTGAGGTAGCCGTCGGGGCCCGTACGCATCAGCACGGCTGCGGCTGAGGGAAGTGGCGCCGTGGCGCCTCGGGCAGCCCAGCCAACATCGCAGCAGTCGTGGACCTCACACTCCGCAATATGCAAGGAGCGAGACAGGTTGGCGCTGCGGGCCGGGCCAGGCGAAGCCGCACTTCGAGCTCGCCCGAACTGTGGGCACATCTGGGCACCCACGTCAGGCACGTTCGCCAGGCTTGCGCTGCACACGAGGTGATGTTACCCGCCCCCTGCGTGCAGCAAGGGGATGTAAAGCCAAGAGTTAGGCTCTCCGGGCACGAGCTCGGCGGGCGAGCATCTTGCCAAGGCGCGATGTTGTCAAGCACTTGCGGCGGCACCCCCCCTGACGTGACCGTATATATTGTTTTTACACTGAGAACCTTGCAACGCAATGTGGCGTGTTTCTCCGCAATGTTTCAGCTTCCTCAACAGCCATCGACAAAACGTGTCGTGTGAGTCTACGTACCTTGCTTGCACTCGCATTGTTGCAACGCTTGCATTGACTTGCATATGCAATTGTTGTTGCATTCTGACTGCCTTGCGAGAAATTATTTGAAATTATGCCGTACTTCATCCCTTCAAACTCTCAAATGTTTAAAGTTCGAAAAAAGTACTCGTGACGCCTATCCCCAATGCAGGTGTTGCAGGGCTATGAGGTCTTTGGGTTTAGGTGGTTAGGGTTGAGGGGCTATCGAAAGTTCAAAACCCTCCCCAAACTCACACCCTAAACCCTAAGCCCTTAAGTCCTGGTCCTGCCTTTCAGAGGTCCGGAGCTGGCTGCCTAGCCCCGCGTTCCGCCTTGCAGGCCAGCTAACGATTGGGCCAGGCGGACACTAGTAGGGTTTAGGCCTAGTTTCGGCTTCCCGGAACCGAT